TAGATCTATATAGAATGAAGACACTTCCTTTTTTCCGGACCCGAGTCCGAATAACATTTTTTCATATTCGGACTCGAGTCCGAATAAGAATTTTTTTTATTTGGACTCGAGTCCGAATAACGATGGCCTTTACTTTTGTGTTTTAACATCATTTTTTAACTTTGTTTTGGTGAATTTGATCGACCACACCGATAGACAGTATTCAGAAAGAGACAGAGAGAGAGGGGAGGAGTAGATCTTGCGAGAACTGCCGGGCAAAACAAAATGGCGATCCGCGTAGTTCGGCTCGATTCGAACAGTGAAATAGCCATAGCATCTTTGAAAACGATCAAATTAGCTTACTTTTGTGCTATAACTATAATTTTTTCTTGGCTCTTATCAATTTGATCATCCACATCGATAGAAAGTATTCCGAAATTAGGAAAAACAGGTCTTGTTTCAAACCAGGTGAGAATAGCCTATGGTCGCAAGTCTCACCCGTGGTGAGAGGTCGATCGTATTTCTATTCTCACCCCGGATGAGAATAGCCACTTCCTTTTCACACAAGTAGGGTAGATTCTAACTCTGTTCGCAAAGTTCGCGCTTTTTCGAAAAGGCGCACTAGGGTCAACCGCTCTATAGTCCAGCATGATACCCACTAAATTTCATAACAGAGCGTCCCGTAAGCCTTTACTTTCGCTTTCGTTACGACCAAGAAATTTGTCAGTAATTGTCTGATAACGCAACAATTATTGTAACCTGCAGGTTCGGCATTACAAACGTGGTGTCGCCATGAAAGTAAATCAATATCTGTCACTGTGTCATCTCTTATAGGGGCAACATGAAGAAAAGAAAGTTATCAAGCGTCTTGTCGGGTTCGCAATTGTGGCCGTTTAATGAACCTGCACGCGTTCTGAGCTCTGCGAAGTACAGGACTCAGGAATGGTGGGGGGGGGGGGGGGGGGTATTGATTTTTTTAAAAGACGCACTCGGGGATAGGGGGAGGGCTGGACACAACACCAGTGGACAAAAAAAAATGAAACTGGAAGCAAATTAAATATGTTTTATATTTAGAATTTTGATAACTGCTACTGCTCTCTGCTAAGTAAAGTGTGCGCGGGTTCAGGCCTTGTTGTGTGAAAACGGCCTAAGTGTTCGCGTTTCATTGGATTGGTAGCAGTATATTTTAGCTTTCTGTACAAGATTCGCAGATTTTCAGTATCACTGCATCTTGCCCTCCCACAGTTTTTACCCTTTCACACTGAATAGGTCTACTTGGGCTATTCTACTGTACTTTGAGTTAAAGCATTAATTTTTGTCTTTCACGTTTATTATATAGGCCTATATATATATGAATGAATCATGACAGTCGATATTCTGGTTCTAGGCTCAAAGCAAGATTCATTTTTATAGTTTATACATATATACAGGCGAGTATGATGAAGGGAAAATATTAATAAGTCGCACAAGACCCTAGGCGCCACCACTTTCTGTACGTAATCAAGATTGTAAATTTGGTGCGTGACTCTTACTTGAAATTATCTCCCAAACCCTCAAATTGGTGTGAAATAACCTTGCTTTGATAAATTGATGGTTTTCATTTCAGCATTCTAGGGTTCAACAGTATAATAATGGGTGTTTCGCAAAAATGGGCTTCTGTAGCGATCACCCGGAAAGTTCCTCCTTTTTTAGAATTCTGAGTTGAGACCCATGTGATTTAAATAAGATGAAATTGGTTTTCAAAATGCTGTGATGTCACACCCTTTGGTGCAGAAAAGCAAGCACTAGACCAAATACTATAGCTTTTGGGTGTTGACCATAGCTAAAGATGTACTTTTCCATGTTTGATTTTGACTGTCTTCTCTAGTTTTAATATATGTCCTGGGTCATTCATTTTTTATTTGCTTTTTTAGCTTTCATATTGTTTTATCCATTGTGTTTGTTGTGTTACAGTTATTTGTGTGTGTTTAGAGACAGAGAGAATATCGTTGTGAGGCTATGGAGATTTTTGTTTATAATGTAACTACATGTACAAAGTCATAGTCAAGTCTACTTCTGACAAACTTGACCTATAAAGCTATCCTCATATCGTTTTATCCAATATGTATGTTGTGATGTGTGTGTGTGACATGCTAAGTATTAAATATATTTAGAGGCTATTCACACGTGTAGATGCATGATGTGCCTGTGTGTGTGTGTGTGTGTCTCCCTCCCTCCCTCCCTCCCTCTCTCTCTCCCTCCCTCTCTCTCTCTCTCTCTCTCTCTCTCTCTCTCTCTCTCTCTCTCTCTCTCTCGACTCTCTCTCTCTCCGTGTTTATGTATTTTTGTGTGTGATTGTAAGTGTGGTGTGCGTAAAGATAGTATTAATGGGTGGTTGGTGGGTGCTCTGGTGTGGTCTGCTCCTTCTCTCCTATTCAACATCTATCATCCTTATCTTTCTCTTCCTTCTTTTTGTGTTTGTTACTCTCTTGTAACACTAACACCTCTAATCTTCGGCACTTATATTTAAAAAAATTTTGTTGCAAGTGCTAACTTTTTGGAAAACAAAAGATAGTTTTCGGCTTTAGGTATGAACAGGGCGCTTTGGTTGCAAGCGTAAGTGTATGTGTGGTACCGAAGCTCGATCTACTTTCGCTTTCTTTACCACCCAGAAATTTGCCGGTAGCAGTCTGATTAACACATCATTTGTAACATACAGGTTGTGCATTGCAAACGCTGTGTCGCCAGGAAAATAAATAATTGTCCAGCGCTTTCACTTGCGGAAAAAAAAGAAAGTTATACAAGCGTCTTGTCGGGCTCGACATCGTGACCGGTCAGTGAACCTGTACCTTCGCATCACATTGTGAGTACCAGTGATCGTTGGGGTCACCAAAGTTTAATCAAAGTGTGCGCTGCGCGAAGTATAGGGCTCCGGAATGGGGGGGATTATTGATTTTTTTAAAAGGTACAGTCGGGGGGAGGGGTGGGGTTGAAGGCAACATCGGATGACAAAAACTGAACTTGGAAGCAAATTTTAGTATAATAGAATCTCTCCTCTCTCTCTCTTCCTTCCTCTCTCTCTCCTCCTCTCTCTCTCTCCCTCTCCCTCTCTCTGTTTTCTGAGGCTCGCTCTCTCTCTCTCGTGATAGTATTACATGTTTTGTAAACATCTATATTTTAGCTTTCTGTTCCAGATTCGCAGATTTTCAGTGTCACTGCATTTTGCTCTCACTTAGGACAGGGGGTAGATTGGGATCAATTTTGGGATTACATTCCGCTCACAACACACAAAAAGTGGAGTGAAAAAGGTCAAGGTCATGACCGGAGCGAAGCAGTTACCGTGCACCTAGCTCAAGCGCCCCCCCACGAAACAAAATTCCCGGTTACCGTGTTCGTAGATAATGAGAGGCGACCAGTTGCCGGTTACCGTGTACATAGATATTGAGGTTACGCATCCGGTTACCGTGTGTGTGACATTGAGACTACATGGTGAAATGGGAAAAAAGTCAACATCAAGAAGGGAGCGAAG